TCTTCTCCACCGTGGATCCAGCTCCCCACCCTTGCCTCGACGCTGGCGCGGCGCCTCCTCCCCGTCCCTGCCTCCCTCCCTCCCTCACTCTCCCTCGGCGGCGCGCGGCTAGGAGCGCGCGGGCGGGTAGATCCGGCGACTCCCTCCCTTCCTTGTTTTCTCTCCTCTCCATCTCGCTCACCCCTCTTCATCTCCTCTCCATCGCTTGAGGGAGGGCGCTGCCTGTGCAGCTCCTGCCCTAGAGATCCAGAGCTTCGCCGCTCCCAGCCCCGGCGGCCACCTCCTCCTCACCTCCCCACGCGGCCGTGGCGCACACGCCGGCCTCGAGCACGCCGGCAGCCGCCCTCCTCCCCCAAGGCCCCCACGCAGTGGCTGGCCTCGAGCCCCGCCGCTCCTCCACGACCCCTGCGTCCCGGCGACCCTGCCTGCTCCTGGTGACCCGGCCTACCCTCTCCTCCCTCCTCTCTCTCTGTGTCGGCACTCAGTGGCCCTCGGGCTGGCACGGCCTGTGAAAATGGCCATGCTTCTCGGCCCGACACGGCACGGAAATCGGCCCATAGGGCCGTGTTTGGGCCGAAGGCTAGGCCCGTGGCTCTGTGAGGCACGGCATGCCATGCTGGCCCGTTGGTTATCGGGCCATGCTGGCACGAGCCCGTGCCGTGTCGGGCTGGGCCGGGCTGGCCTGTTGGCCATCTTTAATCATTAGTCATAAGCCATAAAAAAATCTTGATCTTTGCAGGTATCTTCCCCTTCCATATCCTTTTGTGATAAATTCCAGATTCAGATTTAGATAACCCATTATAAACTGATTTCATAGTAAAAATATTACTGTTTCCAAGCTTCCAAACTACAGAATCATGTTCACCCCCCAACTGAAAATTACAAGCATCATACCAAATCTTTTCCCAACAAGTCCCTAGATCACCAAACAGCCATCTTATAAAAGAGATAACATTTCCAAATAAGGCTTGGGCAACAGAAACAATTAGATTCATGGCATCATAAGATATGAATTACAACAACATCAACCACACTTTAATCTAATGTTTCAAATAAATGCGTATTAAAAATAAACAGATCAGAGGTGCCATGAAAAGGAACAAACTATGGATATGGATGACTAAACATATGATTATCATAACTAGATAGAGAGTACAAAGTATCTATTGCATCTCTTGTGTTAGAAAATGAACAAAGTATAAAATGTGTAATTTGATATTAGTATTTTTTATTAGTTTGAGATATTAAACAATGACTAAACCTTATGTCCCCAAAGATTCTGTCCCGTGCGAGAGCACGGGTTAGAGGACTAATTTTAATTTGTACGTGAACTAACCTTCTAATTTGTTATATATCCACACGGTTCAATTAATCAATAGGGACATCCAACACGCCTACAAAGTCAGCCATACTGGAACACAAAACAAAGGAAGAAGAAGAAAACGCATAACCATAGAATCAAATTAATGTTACATAATGTTACATTGTTACCAAATTAATGTTACATTATCAGCCATTACGATCTCTCTGTCATGCTAATGACAATTTTGCACATACGTGTAAATCTAGATTCAAATAAAACTTAATTATCTGAAGTAATTTTTATTACTTAATATGCATTGAATAAATAGCGTTTATATTGCTTAAGTATCTCAATGTTAGCCCGTGCGGGAGCACGGGTTGATGGACTAGTGTTAATAATCATACCAAGCTTCTTAATTATCATCATCATTGACGCACTCCACATTTGTCTATTTGGTATGGTCCACTTAACTTTGCTCTCCCTTTTTTTTTGTGCCACGCACTATTCTTAATTTGTTCTTGGAGAAGTATATATAAGGAATTAATGATTTGCCAAATCCTTTCTAGAACTAACGAGTTTTACATTGCAAGTAATTAGAAAATGCAACCACCATGGTTGTTGTGCTATTTTTCAAGTATTTAAAAGTAGAGTAACCACCAAAAGGAAGCCCCTGTGTAAATTGTTAACTAGTTAGCCTCAGTCTAATACGACTGAGGGGACCGCTAAAAATTACATGCTCCCTCTGTTTCAATATACATGTTTTTTAGTTTTGTTTTAAAACTGAAGTCCTCTAACTTTCAAAAATTAAAGCTTATACAGAAGTGTACCAGTTTCTACAACATCAAATTAGTTTCACTTTATCCACCATTGAATATGGGTTAATTGGTACTGTAGATGTTAATGTATTTTTCTATAAGCTTGGTCAAATTGAGAGAAGTTTGACTTTAGGATGAAACTAAATTAGAGACAGATATAGTCACGGAGAGAAGAAAATCATCCGACGCATAATTCCTTATATTATTGTCCCGTTCATGGTCCAATTAATGAACGGAGTAGCTATTGAAGTGGAAGAATTATAATTGGACGGAGGGAGTCACCGCGTAGAGCATTATGATATGAAATTACGGAATGTACAACCCACAGGCAGGTTGTTATATGTAACATCATGCACAAGCAGCTAAACTGTGAACTCATACAATGGACTGCATATTTACTGTCTCCATTCATAGGTTGATCCATGAGTCAAAGCGATCAAGCATGAATATAATTTGATCTGTGTATGGCATTTTATTGTTTGTGTATGTAGTTTGCACTTGTTATGATATTTGGGGGTTTGTCTATAACATCATACACAGGTCGCTAAACACCCTACAGAAACAATGAACAGCCTATTTAACTGTCTGTGTTCATAGGTTAACACATAAGTCAAACCAATCAAGCATGAAAAGATGATCTGTGTATGCCATTTTAGGCTCATAGATCAAAAAACTTAGAAATATTGAAAATAGATGAATAATAATAAAAATCAATGAAAAAGCAGAAAAAAATAATGAAACTCTGCCTCCCTCTCCATGTTTTCTGGTGACCCGTCACTCTCTCTCTCTCTCTCTCTCTCTTCTCTAATCTCCACTTGGTCTCTGCATTCTCTCTCTATCAAGGTGTTGGGATTCAATTCTGAAAAAAAATTCGGTGACCACCGAATTAGACGAAATTCGGAAAATTCGGACCGGTGTCCAGTGAAAATTTGAATGAAATTTGAGCAAATTTGAACAAAATTTCTCCAAACAGTCAAACAAGGTCGTCGGCATGGAGAGGGTGCATGCGGTGGCGGCGTGGAATGCACAGGCGGCAGGGAGGGCAGCAACGATGCGGTGGTGGCAGCAAGGGGTGTAGACGGCAGCGCCGACGAAGCAGATTTGGTGACGGCGCGGCGGCGGGCATCGAGGAGCAGCCATGGCACGGCGGCGGCATCGAGGAACATCCATGGCGCAACCTCGGATGTCGGGAAGCGACCACGGCTTTCGTAGTGGCTGCAGGAGAGATGCGCAGGCGGCGCGAGGTGCGGAGCCGACGCTGGCGGCGGCGTCGAGGAGCGCATCAGGGTCGGTGATGAAGTTTCAGTGTTGTATAGATAGCTGGGCTCTTTGCTGGGCCCTAGAATGGGCTGCGAATTTGAATCAGGCCGAAGTAATTTGGCCGGTTTAGTCTTCTCTCGGGCCGGGCCGAAATTGACGAAATTCAGTGAAATTCGGACAATTCGGGCCGAATCCCAGAACCATGCTCTCTATATGGTATGTCTTTAATGGCACGGTGGGGGTGCAGCTTAGTGCTCGGCCTTGCACAGGAGTAGAGACTAAGGCCCGTTTGGCACGGCTTGCGCTGGCTCCGGCTTATCTGACATCGGCACTGTAGCAGCACTGTAGCGCGAAGCCGGTTTCCTCTCTCCTCTTCTCCCCTATCACTGACATCGGCACTGTTCATCGAAGCCGTTTTTCTTGGCTTTTCCCCACGTGCTACAGTGACACAGAAAAAGTAGGAGGTAGAAAACCGGCTTCGTGCTACAGTGTTTTATCAGATAAGCCAGAGCCGGCGCGAGCCGTGCCAAACGGGGCCTAAGAGCAGACAGCATTCCTCGAACCAAATAGAAAAATAGAATCATCCCAACCTCCAAAATCAGTGACAGGTGCATCCCATTTGCGGCAAAGACACAAAAAATAAGTATTTAAAGGTGAGTACGTCAGAAGCTATGGTCCTGTTCACTTGTCTTATGAGCCGTACTTTTTCAGTGGAGGAACAGTATTTTTCTCAGGACAAATTAACGAACAATGCTTTTCAACGCTTGTCTTTTACGGGTGAAGTGGTGAGCTAGAGGCTATGGTGTAGATTATTTAGAGGCGCCTTGTTTCATTCATGGGACAAAACCACACGTTAGATGACGTGACACTTGCAAATTAACTATGAATTGAGACTGTCCAATAAGTCCAGTTTTAGTGGAGGTTTCATATCCCAGTTTTCAATATTCTTATATGTTGGAAACAGTTTCGATAAGTTTTAGTGGAGGTTTCATATCCCAGTTTTCAATATTCTTATATGTTGGAAACAGTTTCGATAAGTTTTATCCCCATAAAACTTATTTCATCATTGTATCACCTTTCTTCTTATCTATATCATATCATATCAGCTTATTTAATGCTCATGTAGCTATCATAATATTTCTACATAGACTGGCCTAATAGCCTTATATATACTCAACATGTAATGTGACATGTGCAGGAATTAATTGAATAATCCCAACCACTCCTCACGACCCCACACAACACTCACTGCACATAAATAGAATTTTGAATCGATACTTCTTTGGGAATCTAGCTACCCAAAGGAGTACTTAGAGCTAACACCATTTAAAGAGAGGAGCGGCGAAGGAGGATGGACATGTAGCTCTTGTTTAGTTCCACCCTAATTTTCAAAAAGTTGCTACAGTACTTGTTACATCGAATGTTTGCGGCCCGTGCATGGATCATTAAATGTAGACGAAAAGAAAAACTAATTGCACAGTTTGGTGGGAAATTGCGAGACGAACGTTTTGAGCTTAATTAGTCCATGTTTGAATACTATTTGCCAAATAAAAACGAACGTGCTACAGTAGCCCTAAAATCCAAATTTCTCCAACTAAACAAAGCCGTAGGGTGATTCGATCATGGCTTTCTCAGATGCAGTGCAGTGGTGGGAGGAGTGGCAGTTGCGCATCCTTGTCCTATGCAGCCTCTTCCTTCAATACTTCCTCTTCATCGCCGCATCCTTGCGTAAGCGTTGTCTCCCTCCTTGGTTCAAATTATTAACCTGGCTCGCCTACCTAGCTAGCGATGCCGTAGCTATATACGCACTTGCCACCCTATTCAATCGTCACAAAAGGCAAGAATGGCTATCCACGCACCGCAGTAGCGCTAGCATGGAGGTGGTGTGGGCACCTATACTTTTGCTGCACCTTGGTGGGCAAGATGGCATAACGGCCTATAACATCGAGGACAATGAGCTGTGGAGGCGTCATGTTGTAACTGCCGTGTCTCAGGTTGGTGAAACAACATCAAATATATATCTTTGTATTAAATTTCAAATTCGATGTTTCAGTATTTTGTTTTGTGTTAAACAAAGGATGATCTGCGCAATTGCATGCCTAGTACCAACAATTTCATCATAAATTTCATACTCTTGGTACACCTATGCATGTTATTACTGTTGCATCATCCTAACTTTATCATAAATTGAGCAAAGAAAATGTTGACGTCTCTCTTATTAACCAAATAGTAATATAACCAGGCATGAACCCATGCTTCAGTACGATCTAGAATATGAGATTACAAAAGTACGTTACAGATTGAAAGTTTCCATAAATTTATCATATGCAAAATTCATAGATACTCTCTAATCCCTATTTGGCTATCAGTAAACTACAAAAGTATATACTATTTATCTCTAGTGTATTCATGTTTACTTGTTATATGCGCAATTTAGACATTGATTTGAGGGATATTTTAGTTTATGTTTTACAACAAAATACGTGGGTAATTCAGATGCAAATTAACGGGGTTGCTTTATATTATCTTTTATAATATCAAATATGGGTAATTCAAATGGAAATATACGGGTTACTATAAAATTATCTTCATTAATGATAAAGTTGGTAGTTTAGATACAAATATAGAGGGCTATTAATGTTTTTTCAATGGCAAAAGTAGGTAATTTTTTAGGAAACATAATAGATCCAATGGTTGCCAATCTCTATGAGCCAAACGAATTGAGGGCCAAACGTTTCTAATTGTTATGATAATTTCTAGCATTTATCTTTTTTCTCAACCCATCTTGCAAGTATTAATTCGGAGGCTCTGCCGGGGACCACCCATTAGTAATATTAAGATATATATGTGTTATTAACCATTGCATTGCAACTGAGTTGGTCTTTAATATGTATTTAGTTAACACCTAAGCTTAAGTATGTCAACTCTTTGTTGGATATTTTTTATAACATCATGAATATGTATTTTTGTTTTTCACTTTTGATCTTATTAGTTGATAAAATGTTTTATGTACATGCTAAGTCGAAACTCTTAACACTTATTGTGTATTTTATTGAAAAATCATTTTCTATTTTATTAAAAAGTGGATTCTAGATCCTAGACTACACTCTTATTGTGTACTTGGCCCGCAACAGGAAGCACAGGAGGCTCAGGAGCCTCCTGCTGATTTGCAGGGACTCCATCGACGAAATCTGGTGCATGAAGCCGTGCCAGTCTTCCAACGACATCACCGAGCTCGTCTTCGACCATGTCGTCAACCATGGGTGGAAGAACCGCATCAAGGACGCGGCCACCTTCCATGAGTTCAACAATAACCGGGGCCAGCAGACTCTCCAGCGCGAGGGCTGCAACGAGGGCATGCCGCTGGAGAGCCTGCAGAGGCCATTCGATGAGAGTGTCATCCTCTGGCACCTCGCCACCGATTTCTGCTTCTTCCACCACCGCATGGACGCCGCAGGCAAGTCAGCTTCCGGCGGCCATGGAGATGGAGACGCCCGCCGCCGCAGCAGCAGGGAGATCTCCAACTACATGGCCTACCTGCTGTTCACCAACCCAGAGATGCTGATGCCCGGCTCCAGGCGGAGCCTGTTCAAGGACGCCTACGAGAAGCTCAAGAAAATGGCCGGGGACGAGGACGACAGCACCTCGTCACCAATTCCAAATGGGACGGTACCCACACAGAAGAAGACGAAGAAGCTGTCACTGCTGGACGAGCAACAGATGATTGCCTCTCAGATCATGCAGAAGCTGCAGAGCGCCAAGGAGGGTTCAGAAGGTTTGGTTCTTGGCGCCTGGGTCCTCGCCCAAGAGCTCATGGGTACAGCAGCAGGCAAGGACGATGACGACGGGTTGGAAGGGGAGGAGAAGATGTGGAGGGTGATCCAGGGCGTGTGGGTGGAGATGCTCTGCTTCTCTGCCGGCAGGTGCCGAGGTTTTCTGCATGCCAAGAGCCTAGGCAAGGGTGGGCAGTACCTCTCCTACGTCTGGATGCTCATGTCCTTCCTTGGCATGGAGACACTGGCGGAGAGGCTGCAGAGGACGGAGCTGCACGTGCAGGGAGACATGGGCGCCACCCGCCCGATGACGCCGGCTGCATCTGAGATGCCAACGCCAACCGGCAGCGACAATGTTTGACTGGCAAAACGGTGCGCACGAGGAAGCATCGGAGGTTTCCTTTAATTTTCTGCATGGACGTACGGCATTTATTTCTTCTGTCTGTCTCTTCCAAGTTCCAATCACATGTATAATGTATGTGTTGTTGTCTTGATCGCTGGTATCGCAGCTACGGCTGCTACTTCCTTTTGTGTTCTGCCTGCTGGTGGCTCATCTGCTACCGCAACTGTTGTTCCTCTCGTGAAGGAGATCAACAAAGGTTATGCTTTGAAAAAAAATCGAATCATTGCCTCATAAATAGAGGTTGCTGGTTAGTCTCTCCCTACATGTGGCCAGGCCCTATGATTTGAAAAAAAAATGGAACCATTGCCTCGTAAATAGAGGTTGCTGGTTAGTCTCTCCCTACATGTGGTCAGGCCCTTAGCGTGCGGTGGACGCCACGAGGACAACACGATGGCAACTCCACCTCTGACGATCAACTCTAGGCTCCAGCAAAGGATGTTAGGGATGGTTTAGAACTTTCGGCTACGATCAGCGACGAGGTATGACACCCAGCGCGACCACCAGTCAAAGACTAGGATACGAAACCCTAGAACACCCCCCCCCCCGACCCATGCTTCTTTGTAAAACCATTGCCCTACGGTATATAAGGTGGGTGAAAGGATCAAGATGTCCAAGAGGGAGAGGTGAATTAGGCTAATTCTATTTTTTTGTAATAATTAAGGCCTACACTTAGCCCATTTCACCCCTTGTGTCTAGAATGTGTTTATGTTGTTCTGCCATACAAAAGTTTTGCATCTTAGGTTTCAATCCTACTCTAGCATGGCAATTCTAGAAATGTAAAGACATGAAATGAATTGCTCAAATGTAAATGCTCAAAATAAAGAGAGTGAAAGGAATGAGGCAATGTTTTCCCGAGGTATCAGAGAGTCGCCACTCCCCACTAGTCCTCGTTGGAGCACCCGCGCAAGGGTGTAGCTCCCCCTTGATCCATGTAAGGATCAAGTGCTCTCTACGGGCTGATTCTTTGACACTCCATCACGGTGAATCGCCCACAACCGCTCATAACATGACTTGGGTCATGTACAAGCTCCGTCGGATGATCACCAAGCTCCCAACCACCACGGAGCCATCTTAGTGATGGCGATCACCAAGAGTAACAAGCACAAACTCTCACTTGACCAAGACAAGCCTAATGAGAAAGATCGATGCACACTTGTTACTCCCTATGCACTAATGAGGTCCTTAATCTTGGATTATCAACTCTCAATCACCACACTAGGCACTTGCTCTCCCTTGCACTCCAAAGATGTTTCACAGCTGAACAATTGGGCAAGAGACCTTCCATGAACGAGCGGGATAAGTATTTATACCCCCTCATTCAAAACATAACGGTTGGAGCCCAACTCAGCAAGTTCGGGGTGACCGGACGCGCCAGTCAGGGTGACTGGACGCTCCGGTCAGTAGTACACGTCACTGTGTCAGATAGAGCCGTTAGCTCTGATCGGACTCTGACCTGCGTCCGATCATCACCCACCGGATGCGTCCGGTCACCAAAAGGCACCCTAGCGTCCGGTCATGTACTGTTTAGCGTCCGATCAATGCATGACTGTAGCTGTTGATCAAATGAACTGACCGGACTCTTCACGCTACGACCAGTCACAACGAACCCAGCGTCCGATCAGTCATTTGACCCTCCATTTACTTCCAATTCGAAATGCTTCGAGAATGAAGTTGACTTCTATCGATCTTAGGGCTATTCCTGAGCTACCTAGTGCTAAGTTTTACATGTGTGCACCATACCTAATTCATTAGACTCACCTAGGTCAAGTTACTAGTCCATACCTCCTTAATAGTATGGTCAAAAGAAAAACAAACTACTCTAAGTGTCTGTCTAACGCCAAATGACACTTAGAACTAGTCCGTCCTTAACCTTGTCGCCCTTCCTTTGAAAATCGAAACGATTTCCATCAACAAGGGCATGGCAACCATGATTATCCAATTATTTTCCATTACCATGACCTAACTAAAATTGTCTCTATAAAACACACATTAGTCTTAGTAATCTTGTGTCATCATTAATCACCAAAACCCAACTAGGGGCCTAGATACTTTCAATCTCCCCCCTTTTGGTGATTGATGACAACACAACCTCGAGTATGTAATAGAGATGAGTGAGGTTTTCAACATGCTTGGTTCATATAAGCATTTGACAATAAGAACAAAGGAGTTAGGCATGCTTGTTTGACCCAAGCCAACATGGTGTACTAAAAAAATATAAATTAAGCATGAGTACATGAAGTAAAGCTCATTTGAAACAGAGTAAAACGTGGAAGTACAGCAAATGAGCATAACCAAGTGACATGACATATATATATATGTATATATATACAATGTAGAGAGCACACATGTCACATATGTCTCACAATCACATGTATATAATACAATGCAGGAAAGTAAACGTGATTGCACGAAGTATCACACACAAAAGACCAAAAGAAACGAACCGAGACCATCTCACACGCTCCCCCTAGATCTAACATACTCGCTCCGTCTCCCCCTTTAGCGACAAGCACCAAAACCTAAGGGTTGGACGGCAGGACAGGAGCAGATGAGTCGGGCGCTGAGGTGCGATGAGAGATCTGGAACTGAGCTACATCACCCTCTGACCCTAAGCTCTGAGTGGTTTGACCCTCTGTCGCTGGAAGTGAAGGTGAAGCGGCCTGAGTCTGCTCAGTAACTGGTGCGGCCTGTGACTCTGGAGGTGTCACAGTAGGAAGTGGAGCCACATCTGCCGCTGTTGCTGTCGCTGAAGCCTCAAGTGTAGGAGTGACTGTCTGAGGTGGCTCGGATGATGCAACAGACGACGGAATCATCTCGGTAGTCCCGGTAACTGGAGCAGCTATGGTAGGGACAGAGACTCAGAACACTAGAGGTGTAGGCTGCCCTGTAACTCACTGAAGGTAGCGCCGAGACTTCTAGAGACTGGGGTGTCCTTCACTAACGTCGAAGAAGTTTGAGTCGGAGTGAAGCCCGTAACAATAGGAGTGAAGTGCGGACCCTGAGCTGTCCCTGGTGAAGCAAACTACTGAGACACCTGCTCTGTAGGTGAGGCAAACTGAGGAGCTGGCTGTCTCTGACTCGGAAGCCCACTGGGCTGTACAGTTGGAGTCACTGGAGTGGTGGTGGCAGGCTGGCCTATCTGAAGTGTAGACTGCTGAGGAGCTACCCCAATAGCAGTGAATATATGTTGCATGAAGCTGAGTAACTACTGCTAAATCATAAGCTGCTGCTACTGCATGGCCTACTGCTGCCGCTGAAACTCATCCTGTCGTGCCTGAACTTGAGCAAGTGCAGCTGTGGTCTCCTATGCCTGGCGTGTCTGGTCCTGTCTCATCCGCTCAAGTACAGCTAGAAGTGCTGGGTCAGTCTGCGGCGGCTATGGTGGAGCTGAGCTGGAGCCACTGGCCTCTCTGTCGTGTGGTCGAGGAGCCATCTGCGGAATTGGCTAATAGTCATCATCTGAGCTGTCAGTAGGGTCATTCTCGATCACATCTTCCTGCTGGGCATCTAGCTCCTTCTCCTCTATCTCTGCAATGCCCCTGATGATCTCATCCTACTGAGCTGCTGTTTCTGGTACCTCTGGGCGATGGCTTGGCTGGTGAGGTGTCCTCGCACGACTGTGACGTAGCATCGGGCTCATGTCATACTGTGAAAACTCAGTGGTAGCACCTATCCACTCTACCATTGTCTCTGGGGACTTGTGTGGAACAGCCTTTTGGAGTAGGAAAGTGATCCAATGAGCATAAGGCAGCTGACGGTGACCTCTGAAGCCCTCTGCTAGTGTATCCTCCATCTCTGAAAGCATCACATCCCAAATATCAAAGATAGTCTGAGACATCAGGTAATGCACTAGCCACAACTGAATTCGAGTCAGGCCCTCACGGTAGCCCATCCTCGGGAGTAGAGTCCTCCTCATAATAGCATCAAGGAGTCGAGCAGTAGGTGTAAGGTCACGTGGTGTCCTGCTCGACCCCTCGCCAAATGGCTCTATGAAGCACGGTCTGACAAGATCTGTAGGTGGCACAAGTCCACCATGAGGGCATCTCGGAGGCTCTATCTATCCATAGCTTTCCTCGTGTAGACAAATATGTGACTCTAGAATCCTCAATATCTCTTTGACTCTCGAGCTCTGGAGCCTATAGTCATGCCCTCGGAAAGCAAAGTGAATAAACCTATGACTCGGGTCAATCCACAAGGAGGAGTAGAACTCACGGACCCAAGATGGAACATATCGACCAGTCCATCCAAGGAGATCTGACAAGCCTGGCAGATAAGAAAGGTGAGGACGGATCTGCTCGCCTGCAGCTGCAACTAGAGACTCTATGGAGCAGACCCGCTAAGATCTAAAAGCAACACCGCTGTTGAGATATGCACTATAGAAGTCCTCCTGCAACACAGTGTAGAAGTGCTCTGAGGCACGCTCATCCCGCCTCGGTGGAAACCAATCCTCAAACTATATGAACCATAGCTGCTGCACCTGTTTGGCTGTGGCTGCCCTCAGGTCAAGGTGCACCATAGGAGGCGGACCCTGTGGTTTGGGAGGTGGATGAGAGCCCCGCCTCTGTGTCTGAGGCCTCAGTGACACCTGAGTGCATGTGCGACTGGAGCATCAAAGTTGTGCTATGCTGCCTGCTCTGCCTATTGAGCGTTCTCTGTCTGCTCTATCGACTATGTCTGCTACTCAGTCATCCCCTGAGTCTGACTCTCCTCTACACGAGAGACCTTTGGAGCTTCCTCTAAAGAGACACGCCATCCTCCAAGCATGATAGTCCTAGGTGGACTACCAAGACTAGCCTCAATTCTCTCGACGGCGGCCCTCTGAGATGGTGACAGCTGATTGCCTATGCGAATGCCACTGCCAGATCCACCACTCTCGACACGCTCTGCAGCGGCTGCCATTGCTGCTACCCTATTTGCCTCAACATCATCGAACTTGTGCCTCTTCTTTGTAGTCCTTT